TTTGACGACCACCCCAAAAGGACTCGTGGCGAGCTTTTGCAGCTTTGGACTTCGTTAACCTGTCTGATTTGTCTACTGCAGACTTGAACATTAAGCATAGCTATGGGGTTCGAGCCTGTGTTTGCCGCCCCCTATGTTCTTCTCGTTGGACAATTGCAAACAAATGCTTCGAATGGACTTCTTAATATATCTTGTACCAATTGTAATTTAACTAATTGTGTGAGTCCCCATAATCAGGGGTCAGATTTATTGGTTTTAAGTCAACCAAGTTTTATCATGTTACCAACTAAATTAGAAGAACCTTGGCATGATGATAGTGGGGTACAAACTCTGTTAGAAATGAAATCTGCTTTGAGTAAAGAGAATTAAAGGACTTGTTAATGCAGGACTAGTAGCTACTGCAGTAACTGTAGCAGTGACCTTATCACAAAGTATCTAAAATGCTAATTTTGTTAATGAGTTGGCTCATAATACTTCTATGGCTATGGAGACACAAGAAGACATTGCTTTAAAATTAGAGATTAAGCTGAATGCTTTAGAATCGGTAGTAGTGCAGATAGGAAACGAAGCAGAAGCTCTTGGAAAAAGAACAAGTTTGCATTGTCATGCTGCCTATAAAGGGGTATGTGTAACCAATGTAACCTATAATCAATCTAAGTGGAATTGGCAATGGGTGTGATTGCATTTACAAGGTATTTGGTATCATGATCATTTCCATTTAGATTTGCATATTTTGCATCAGGAGATTCTGGATATACAAAATGCAAAGGATACTACTATCAATCCAAAAGATTTAGGTAAAGATTTATTAGATCGTTTGCATGGGTTTAATCCTTTGATTTGCTTAAACGTACTTTTTGGATTTTAGCTGGAATTGTATTCTTTTGTGCTTTTTCAGTCAGCTGCCGAATCCTCCAACGACATGTAGCACGGTCTCAAATTACGTTGCATGCTCTACGGCTTAAAAATAAAAAAAGAAAGGGGAGGTGCGGAGAGCAGACTGCAAGCTGACAAGGTCCTTGCAATCTGTGAGGCCAGCCAAGGGTCGCCTCGCCTCAACGAACCCTCCTAAGAATCGGGAGGTACGAACTGTTCGGGAAACAACACGGTGTTTCTCCGAGACAGGGAAGTACACTTACAGCCGCGAACAGACAAAGTGGCAAAAGTTCACAATAGAATGTAGGTTAGGTGATTGTGCCAAAGAGGATCTGATCCTAGCTCGCAACTGTATGCTCTTGTATAAAAGCAGCTTGCAAAAATAAAACTGCGCCATTGCTCATCGTCAGTGGACAGTGGTCCTCCCGATCCCACCTTTGTCTCTCTCTCTCTTTTCGGCAGCTCCCACTGTTCCCACTCAGGCATCGAGCTGGCTACGCTGGACGTGACACGAGATCAATCTATAAAAATCAGCTGTATCTTTACACAATATCAATGAACAATCTAAAAGTGAAAGTAAAGAAACAATTTTGTTTACAGTAGCATAAAATTAAAACACTTCGGAATAAATTAAAGCAAGAAAGTGTGAAATCTATATACCACACAACACAAAACACCACCAAAAAAATTAAAGAAGACCTAAGTACATGGAATCCAGGGTTCATGGATTGAAAACTCAATATCGTTAAGATGCCAATAATCCCCAAATTGATCTACAGGTCCAATACAAAGCCTATCGAAATTCCTTTTTCATTTCTCGATAGTGTCCTTTGACACACACATGTTATAGTATTAGCTCTTACAGTTGGGACTTAATCCATTTGAAGTTAATTTTTGTATCTCACATGAGGTAGGAGTCCAAATTTATTCTTTTGTATGTAGATATCTAGTCGTCCCAGAACCATTTGCTGAGAAGGCTGTTCTTTCTCCACTGAGTGGTCTTGGTGTCCTTGTGGAAAGCATTCTCCATCATATTCCATTTATCTAGATTTACAATCTTAAATAGAAGAAGGAATAAAGTTGGAGGATGCATACTTCCTGATTTCAAAGCTTATTATGAAGTTATGGTAATCAAAATGGTGCGGTGCTGGTCTAAGAATAGACCTAGAGAATAATCTAATATAATTTAGAGTTCAGAGCTAAAATTAAAAATCTCTAGGAAGGAAACATAGGTACAAATCTTTGTGACCTTGGGTTGGACAGTGGTTTCCTAAATATGACACCAAAATCAAAAGAAACAAAAAAAGTTTTAACAAATTTATCTTTATCAAAATTAAAAACTTTTGCATGTGAAGGACATTACCAAGAAATTCAAAAGGAACCCGCAGAATGGGAGAAGTTATTTGCAAATCACATATTTGATAAGAGTCTAGTATTCAGAATATATAAATAACTCTCACAATTTAGTAATAAAAAGCCACATAACCCAAATTTTAAGAAGGCAAAGGTTCTAAATAGATTCTTCTCCAAAAAAAATAATACCCAAATGACCAAAAGCACATATAAAGATGCTCAACATCGTGATTCATTAAAAAAGTGTAAATCTTGTCTATGGCCATGCCACCCTGAACAAGCCCGATCCTGTCTGATCTCGGAAGCTAAGCAGGGTCGGGCCTGGTTAGTACTTGGATGAGAGACCACCTAGGAAGACCAGGTGCTATAGGCATAAAATAATAATAATAATAAAAAGAAAGAAAGAAATCATGCTAGATAAAAGAAAGCCGTTCACAAAAGGTCACCTATTGTATGATTCCACTTACATAAAATGTCCAGAATAGATAAAACCATAGAGGCAGGAAGTAAATTAGTGATCGCCAGGGAATGGAGGGAGATAGACGTGGGATTGACTGCTAACAAGTACGGGACCCCTTTCAGAGGGGATGGAGATGTATGTTCTGAAACTATCCAGTTGCAGTAATAATGACTGTACCACGTTGTGAATATGCTAAAAGCTTTTGAATCCTACCATTAAAAATAGTCTATTTTTATGTTACATGAATTTTATCTCAATTTAAAATGATCACAAATACAATTTTTGATCAAACGAGAAAAAAAAAAACAGCTTAAAAAATACATTATCCTTTAGACCCCTTCTGACTTTAAAATTACCTGAATCAACCCTTGGTGGAACCCAGGACTCAGAAGACTCCCAAGTTGTCAACCCACCTGCCTGTGGAGACAGGTTAGGTACCCAGCTCTTCTCTGTGTGACCAGTACTTGGCCAGGCTATAACATGAGGTCTTGGATGGGAGCAGGGGTTGGGGGTGCATCAAATCGGGGAGTCTGATAGTGGGAGGAGGAGGGAACGGTGAAGGCTCCCTCTGAGAATCCACGCAATAGTCTTCCCCCCACTTCCTCCAGCCTTCTGGAAAGGGCAGATGTTTCACTTTCTCTAAGCAAAATATGAAACTGAGAAGCACCATTTGTGCCACAAGACGCATGAAAACAGGTGTAGATATGGGTGAGTTCTTTTTAAACTTATGTTTTCCTCCAATTTTGATAGCCTATACCGGGAGTTCTTAGAATTTGGGGGGTGGGCATCAGAGCCACCTCAAGAGCCAATAAATATGCAGATTCCTGAGGCTCTGATTCCTTAGGTCTGGGGATTCTCCCCAATCCGCATTGCTAAAAAGTTGGTCAGTGGATGGTCTTTGAATAACAGTCATATATAACACTGTTCCTTATGCCATAGAAAACAGAGGGGTTTATTTGGTTCTAAGTCTTCACCTAAGACGTTATTCTTATTGGTAGATGGTTATTCTTATCGGTATAAATTAGAGCTGTTTCTCAATCCAAATTATATTATGGACCAGAAAGATAAATGTACTTTCTTAGAGTCAAGTGGGCATGACTCTACATGACTCTACAGAGACGGGGAGAGAGAGTGGGCATGACAGGCTAAAGAAAAACAAACTAGAACGTGTATCTCAGAGTAGTTTGGGGTTTGGCAACATTCTCCTTTGTATCCCCGAAGACTTGCAGGCCCAGACCTTGAGTCCCGCTGAAATTGTGAGTAAATGAATGGATAACCAACAGAAAAGTGGAAAGGGTTTTCTAGATGCCCAATATCCTCTTTACTTCTCATTTGCTGAGAGTTTATGTCATAAACGGGTATCGAGTTCTGTCAAATGCTTTTCTGCATTTATCAAAAAGGATCATGTAGCTTTGTCACTATTCTGTTAATAAGGTAACTTAAACTGATCAATTTTTCAAATATTAAATCAACCTCTTATTTTTTAAGCACCACTTGGTTATGATGTATTATACTTTTTAAATATAATACATATATTCGATTTGATTTGCTGATATTTGGTTAAGGATTTTTGTTTCTATGTTCATGAGGGATTATTATGGTCTGTAGTTTTCTTTTGTTGTAATGTTTTTGTCTGTTTTGAGTATCGGGTTTATGTTGGCCTCATAAAATGTTTTGGGAATAATCATGCTAAGCGAAATAAGCCAGACAGAAAAAGTTGAAAACCACATGATATCATTTATATGTGGCATATAAACCTAAAAGCAACAAACGAACAGGACAAACAAAGACTCATGGACATGGACAACAGACTAGTGGTTACCAGAGGGGAGGTGGGGAGAGGAGGAGGGAGGTAGATGGGGTAAGGGGGGTCAAATATATGGTGACATTAAAGAATTAAAAATAAATAAGTTAATTAAAAAATGATTTGGGAAGTATTCCATTCTGTATTTCAGATAGTTTGTATAAGATTGGTGTTATTTCTTCTGTACATGTTTGACAGAGTGCACCAGCAGAATCATCTAGTTCTAGAGTTTTCTTTGTGAGAAAGCTTTTTTAGAGTTAACTAAATTTCTATAACTAATGCACTACTTCCTTTATCAAGAAAATCTTGCTAGAAAGAAATGCTAACCAAACTGGAGGGTATGCTTTACGGCTCCATGTTCTGGTGAACGATCTTAATCTCATCGTGAGTAATTAATTCACCCACTGCTGGCTGGTCCATGGACCACACGTTTTCGTAATATGAACTCTCCTGAACTCTAGCCTAACCACGTGGATTCAAACCATGTCGCTATCATTTCAGATGCTCTCAATGTCCAGATGGAGCCCTCGGGCATCCCAGAGTCCACCACCCCTTTTGATTATGATCTTCAGAGCTTTCTGTGTGAGAAGGAGACCTTCAACTTTGCTGCCTTCAGCACCACCATCCTGTACTGCCTGGTGTTCTTCCTCAGCCTGGTGGGCAACAGCCTGGTGTTGTGGGTCCTGGTGAAGTACGAGAGCCTGGAGTCGCTCACCAATGTCTTCATCCTCAACCTGTGCCTCTCAGACCTAGTATTCTCCTGCTTGTTGCCTCTGTGGACCTTGGAATACCACTGGGGCTGGCTGCTGGGAGACTTCCCCTGTAAGCTCCTCAGCATGCTGTTTTCCATCAGCCTCTGCAGCAGCATCTTCTTCCTGACCATCATGACCATCCACCGCTATCTGTCTGTGGTGAGCCCCCTCTCATCCCTGCGAGTCCACACCCTTCGGTGCCGAGTGCTGGTGACCACAGCTGTGTGGGCAATCAGCGTCCTGGCCTCTATCCCCGATGCCATCTTCCACAAAGTGTTTCATCATTCGGAACATTCACGTTGTGATTACGCGGAACTCAAGTGGTTCCTAGCGTCGGTTTACCAGCACAATGTCATCTTCCTGCTCTCCATGGGGATAATCCTGTTCTGCTACGTGGAGATTCTCAAGACCCTGTTCCGCTCACGGTCCAAACGGCACCACCGGACCGTCCGGCTCATCCTCACCATTGTGCTGGCACACTTCATCAGCTGGGCTCCCTACAACCTGATGCTGTTTCTGCAGACACTGCTGAAATTCGAGGTCATCCAGAGCTGCAAGGTCAGCCAGCAGCTGGATTACGCCTTGCTCATCTGCCGCGATTTCGCCTTCTCCCACTGCTGCTTCAACCCAGTGCTCTATGTCTTTGTCGGGGTCAAGTTCCGCAGACACCTCAAAACTCTGCTCCGGCACTTCTGGCTCTGCCGGTCACAGGCGCCCAGCTCTTCCCCGTTACCTCACACCCCAGGTGCCTTCCACTATGAGGGCGCCTCCTTTTATTGAAAGGGAGTTTGGTGCTGCAGGTTGAGATGGACAGAGAAGCCACAGTGGGAGCCAAGAGAAGCGATGCAGGAAAAGTGGATCCCCGCCTGGAATTTTACGTTGCCATTTTAGTGGGAAAAACCTTTCTTGGATTCTGAGTTCATCATTCATTCTTTCCTTTATTCATTCATTTAGACATGGATCTCTTATCATTGCTTAGTTCAGAAGTTTCTAAAACATAAAAGGATTCCCAGAAAGGAGCATCCTTCAAAGACCTGATTGTGTGTGATAATTATGCAGGGTGTCCCAGTCAATTCTGGAGGGCGTTGGTTCTGTATCCCCTAGTGACAACTGAATGAGTCTCTGCAGGACAAAAACCACCACATCCTCAAGTATAGTCAGAGAGAAATCTGAATTCTAAAACCCACAACTGGATTGGAGATGTATTCTGTACCTTAATTCCAGTTTCTAGCACATGAACTGGCGCTTGTGATTTAGTTTGTAAATCTTTTATTAGCAGAATGAATACAATATGTGGGGTCTTCTACAGGAAGCATTTCTTTAGAGACTATAAATATGGACAAGCTACCCTCCAGGCGCCAACAATCCAGCTTTGGAGGCCCAGATAAGTAAACACCGACCTTGGCGACGGGTCTCAATCTGTGAACCTGATTTAGCTCTGGGATGGGGCCTTTGGAAAGCTCCCCAGGTGATTCTGACATGAACCCTAGTTAGAAACATTCGGATGCAACTCCTTGAGAATGGGAATTCCAGCACCTTGCCCAGCTCCTTGAGCAGGACTTTGCACAGTCACTGTGGCGCTCAGTATATGCTTTGTTGAATAAAGTAGCTACTAACACAGCTCTCAGCTGGAGTCTGGAGAGCTTATAAGGCATTTTCCCCTTCAGTTCCAGCTACAATTTCAATGATCTATTTGCCATTGGGTGGCCGGTCTTGAAGGAGTTTGACCTGGCTGGGGAAGAGTGAGGGTCTAATTTTAAGAATTAGGTCAGTAACACCTGCTGGAGAGGGCTGGGCGGTGGACCAGGGAAGGGATAAAACTCTCTTGGACTAGCTAACCAATAGGTGGGGCCATCCCTCACCATAGCAAAAGGGAGGAGGCAATGATTTGGTTGCAAGGGCAGAGCTAAGCCTATGGGTAATTGTTGGGCACCCCCTCAAACCAATAGTATTAAACCTTCATTTAACTTTTATTTAGATGGCACACTGAGCCCAGGGAGCAGAAGGGCAGAGGATTCCAGTTCACACACCCACTTGGTCAAACCAAAGCGCCGTGAGTTTTGAGCCCAATCTTCTTAGAAGGCAGGTTTGGGGGTCTTGTATCACCACAGAGCATGTACTTGGAGGAGCCTGCTTCATTGTCTCCTCACCCCCTCTCGCTCCTCACATCTCAAGATACTTATCCAAGTATGTCTTTCAACACAGACAGCCACATCCCTAGAAACACGTCAATGAATACAATCATGCGTTTCTCTTTACATTTCTAGTGATGTCTTGGCACTCCCAATAGACCAGCTCCCAGGGTGATCATTAATCAAGGATCTTCTCCTAATCCAGCTCCTTGGGAATCCAAGGGAAGAGGAACAGAGACATGGGGTGGGGGTACAAACAAAAAGACAGAGGGGCATCCCATCAGAGAGGGAGCATGGGCGAGACCGGTGACTGCATGCTACATCCTCTGGCCACACCCTTCCTTGGCCGCAAGCTCCTGCTTTCCCCTCCCTCCAGCCACTGAAACCACTGTTCGACCTCAGTTGGACTCTCGTAGGCCTGTCCCGCCCCCTCCAGTTGAAAAACAGTGCCCTGGACACAGGGCTGCAGACCTGTCACATCTGGAACATAAAAAATCCGCAGCAGTTCCCAGGGAAGATGCTCTTCACAGCATTTCCAGCTCCACGCTTTCTCAAGCGAAGTCAAGAAGAGAGGAAACTTGCCGACTCCTGCAACAAAAATGCGCCTCCAAGCCCAGGAAAGCCTCAGACCTCAGCCAGAGTGGAACTTCCTTGAGAGTACGACCCTTGTTACATGTCTAGAACTTTCCATGATGCCCAGAAATAGTGGTAGTTGGTTGAGTAACCAGATAGGAGACCGTATTTTTGGCTTTTTTCTACTTCTGTAGCCTCTTCCGACACTTGCGTATATCACATCTTCCAGTCAACTCCAGGCAGCATCCACGGGCTCTCCATGAATAGTTCTCTAGACTCCACCAGCCCGGACGTCACCTAGTTTGTTGAACTCCTAGCGGCTGTCATTTGTGAAAGCTTCCTGCAATGGACAAAGAGACTCACAAATAGAACAGATTTCCACAGTAAACTGGCTGAGAAGGCTCTTGCGATTTGAGCCCTGGACACAAACCCGAAATCTGAGCTCTTTTACTTACCCACTGTGACCTCGGGCCTCTTAGAGCCTCAGTATCCTCATCTGTAAAATTTTATAAATGTCCACAACACAAAGACAGGCTCTACCCACATGATGGAGGTGTCCCTGAGGTCATGCGTGTAAAAGTACTTGCTTTGCAAATTGTTCAGCCCTAGACTAATATGAATTGTTATTGTAATCATCTCATAGAAACAGTAAGCATCTTTGTATTATATGCACAAATAAAAGATGGGCATGTAT